TATATATACAGTATGTATGTATATATACAGTATATATACATACTGTATATATACATACTGTGTATATGAATTATTTTTGCTGTTTTTCAGATGCACGTGATGTAAAGGCTTGGAAGAAGCATCACATCATGAAAGCAAAAGGTAGAAATATTATCAACAAACATTCTTGGCTTTTTTTTTTTTTTTATGTTTGTAATTTAAGATAAAATGACAGCAGAGATTTTACGAGCTCTTTGGTTTTAATAGTTTGCGCCTTTCCGTCTTTGTCAGACCCTCAGCGGTTGTTTCGGTTTCCCAGGGCGCAGCTGGAGGACCTGTGCCTCCGGCTGCAGGAGGAGAACAGCGTGCTCAGACAGCACACGCGTGCACAGGAGCAGAGGCTGCGCAGGTGAACACACGTCAGGGCAGAACCTCACGCACAATCATTAAACCTAACACCGAACAGCTGAACAAAGACAGGTGCATTTAAACAATAAAACACACATTTTGTCCCCTTTTTAAAATTTTGACGATCTCACAATACTTTTAGGGATATTAAAAAATAAAATGTTACTACAAAACACCACTAAGATGTAGCACCACAGCTCCATTTAAGCTTGAAGCTGCTTTCATACCAGCTGGTTGATGGTGAAGATAGACTCGGCTTTACAAAACAAACTTTAAAGGATTTTACTGGGGGTTGTACGACCACAGACTAACGTAATGCAGAGCATGGTTGTGGAGTGGCATGGACGAAACATAGTACGTCCCTTTAAATTGATGGATTGCCCTTTCACAATAGTTTGAAAGCAATGTCAGATGATGGCTCCTCTGTGATCGGTTCAAATCTTCTGCTTCATCCCAGGATGTCCACACGGCTGATGCGTCTGCGTCAGACCCGCCCTGGCTCCGGCGCTGTCAAGGACAGGGACATGGAGGACACGGTGCAGGAGCTAGAGGCTCGAGTGGCGATGCTGGAGAGCCAGAAAGAAGTTCTGCAGGACAAGCTCTGCTTAGCCAAGCAGCACATTGTGGACTTAGGGGCTCGCACACCTTACAAACTCAGCAGAGGTGAGTTCTGAGCCCAGTGGTGCCAAAAAAAAGCACATGGCTACGGCTTCATCTTCAGCTCTCATCCAGCTTTTTCACGTTTTCAGGTAAACATGTGGAGGGGGAGTCAGGAGTCAGGAGGGCAGCACAGACTGCTCCGCCACGATGCGGCGTCACATTGGAGGACACCAGGGCAGAGATGGAGAGATTGTATGTGGAAAGAACATAAACGGACTTGTTTTCATACATTTCCATTTTTCATCCAGCACAGTTAGAAAAACACGCCGGTCGTTGTCCCTGCAGGCCTGCTCCTACAACAAAATCCACTTGTTTTCTCGTCTGTCGTGCACATTTGACAATCAAATCTCGCCTGTCCCAAACTCGTTTACGTCCTCTCCTTGTTCAGCAGGTCCAGCTTGACAGACCAGGTGAGGATGGCAGAACTGGAGCTGACGGCTCAGGCGCTGAAAGACACACTGAGAGAAAAAGAGAAGGAGGTGGAGGGAACGATTAGAGAGCTGAGGAAGCAGCAGGCTGACAAACACAGGTAGCTGCAGAATAGACGGTTCTCATATTTCTCACATGACCTCTGCAACAGCCAGGTCAGCTCGTTCGCATGACTCCGATCAAATAACACTCCGTATGCTTTATGCATTTCTGACTTGTCAGACGAGTAGAACAACTTTTACTCATTAACGTTTCCATTAGCATGGTGCTAAGGTTGTGTAACAGCTCGAACCCAATATCCAACAATCAAAGTTCACGCTCAATCATCCAGGTAGAAAATCCAGCAAAGTTCAGTCAGGTCATCTGGACGGTTTCTTTTTTTGTTGAGACGTTTCGTCCTTCATCCAAAGGATTTCATCAGTCCAAGGAGCCACAACAAACTGAGTCTCACAAGCAGCACACCCACATAGTGGACCGACAAGTTTGCTGGTGATAAGACGATTTCTGGGGCCACACTCTCCCCCGTCAACTCCTCTGAGGCAGCCATGGCCAAAGTGGTTCAAAGCATCAAAGTTCATGCTCAATAATCCAGGTATCTTATCTTAGACAATCCAAAAAAGTTCAGTCAGGTCATCTGGGCGGTTTATTTTTTTTAAGACATTTCGTCCTTCATCCAAAGGACTTCATCAGTCCAAGGAGCCACAAAAAACCAAGTCCCACAAGCAGCACACTCCCATAGTGGACCAACAAGTTTGCTGGTGATAAGTTGGTTTCTGGGGCCACCCTCTCCCCCGTCGACTCCTCTGAGGCAGCCATGGCCAAAGTGGTTCAAAACATCAAAGTTCATGCCCAATAATCCAGGTAAAAAAATCCAACAAAGTTCAATCGGGTCATCTAGACGGTTTCCATTTTTGTTGAGATGTTTTGTCCTTCATCCAAAGGACTTCCTCAGTCTGAGAAGCCACAACAAACTGAATCTCACAAGCAGCACACCCAACATTCTTACCCTTCTTATCGCCAGCAAACTGGTTGGTCCACTATGTGGGTGTGCTGCTTGTGTGACTCAATTTGTTGTGGCCCCTTGGACTGATGAAGTCTTTTGGATGAAGCACGAAATGTCTCAAAAAAATAAACCTCCCAGATGATCTGACTGAACTTTTTTGGATTGTCTAAGATAAGATACCTGGATTATTGAGCATGAATTTTGATGTTTTGAACCACTTTGGCTGCCTCAGAGGAGTCGGCGGGGGAGAGGGCGGGCCCCAGAAACCATCTTATCATCAGCAAACTGTTTGATCCACTATGTGGGTGTGCTGCTTGTGGGACTCGGTTTGTTGTGGTTCCTCGGACTGATGAAGTCCTTTGGATGAAGGA